ACGACTCATAACTCACCTTTTTCATGAAGAAGGTTTTCAAAAATTTTAAAAATTCGAAAATGTTAATATTTCATTATTATTACCATTATCATTAACACTTTATTTAAAAAAGAGGTCATCCGTATAACACGCAAGTGCCCCAAACAATTACAACAATTTCTGGGTACATCCATTCGGATTATCAGTAGCAATAACCTTATCGCAGAGCACATTAGTTCTCTCGCGTCATTTCGTCACAAACTTAGCAATGACAGCATTAACCCGTTTCCCTTTAATAACAGCTTTTAAGGGCGAAGGTACTCTATAAATCTGCACAGTTTTAAAAGTATCGGAATTTACGGTTTAACGAAGTTCCTTTCCAAGAAGATTCCTCGCAAAACTAACACAAAAGTTTTGCCCGCCGGACGATTCCCTAACGGAGCGACTAGAAAATTCAAGCAACTCTTGTTTGTCACGATCTGTTGCCATTATTCATGCGAGAAGTCGTCGGGCAACACACGTGGCGTGTAGGCAGGTACATAAGTACTTACGTATATGGCACGTAATATTCAATCTCCGAGCGTAATCATTGATCTTCGCATATTTTTGGCGGTGGACTGGTTTCTTGGTATCAATCTTTGTCCCATTTTACGAGTAAACACGGTGTGTAAGTGCTATCGGGTTGCGTATCATAATTCATCGTGTACCGTTGTCACGGTTTCCCTGTTGTAGGAGTACGGTGACTTCTTTTCCCGTTATCGCGACCACGGCTACGTGAAAATATCGGTGTGTCCGCTGCGTGAGTATACAAGCGACGTAAAGCGGATGCGAAAAGTGAATACGATACATCGTCGATTCTCAAATGGATCGTAAATACGGAACGATGCTTGGCTAGCGAGGAAATCTTTCTAACCAGCACACGCCGAATTCGATGAAATTTTTATGAGACATAGTTCTCAAGAAAATATTTCACACGTATTTTTTCTTATTGGCCAATATCCACTTTAAAAGATTGGAAACACACTTGAAATTATATTTTTTACAATATCTCTGAAACTAGGGGATGTAAGACGAACATTGTTCCTTTAAATTGTTCATCACGAAACGAACAATTTCGATTTCTGTTATGCACCCCGTAGTTTCAGAGATATTATAGAAAATAAACTTTCATGCCTCAACTTGGTAGGCTGTTCTCACCCTTTCAAAGTGGATGTTGGCTGACAAGAAAAATACGTGTTAAATATTTTCTTGAGAACAACAGTCTCTGATTAGAAAGTCAGGACCATCATTGATGTCATCTTTGAGAAGATTAAGAATGCTCGCTAGTCGCCAGTTGATTTGACAGTAAAATTGTAAAGTTTAATATTTATCTTAAACAACAATGTGTGAAATATGGAAATAAAAAAGTTTTGCTCTTTAATTTATGCGTGATTTTTCGTTAAGTTAGTTTTAGAAAATATCGTCTGTATCTCATTAGAAATTGTAGAGCATTTAAATTAAATTAATTATATTTAATTAATTTTAATAAATTATTATTAAATTATCTTTTGGATCTTCAATACTATGATTATCGCGAAAAATGTGATGTAAAACTTATGGTGGCCCTAATCTTTTGATCAAGGACTGTATGTCCCACATAAATTTCATCGGAATCCGCGTGTGCTGGTTGAAAAAGTTTCCCCCTTGCGCTACGATTTATTTCTCAACTATGATCGATACAAGTTTTTTGACATTAATAATTTATTAAGAAAGAGAATGAAATGCTAAGCATATTCTACGTCAATCTTTAGTTGAAAGAATAATAATTTATAACAGAAGAATAATGTTTAATTTGAATCCGAAAGAGTCGAGTAATATTCATGCTTGTTAAATTTTGTTTAAAATATTCACCACGAGTCTGACATGTTATAAAACAAGGGATTAATAATGGCACCATGCTGCTACAATTTCTTTATGACGCTACTGACGAGGAATAAAGATACTAATAAAGATTAGATATATCTGCTTAATTAATTTTATTAAATTTATATTTTCAAGGAAGTTTGTTACCATGTAACAACGTTTGGCCGAAAAATAATGTTGTTTGTATGAGATAAAGCTGTATTTATTAATATGAAAGACATTGAAACTTGATATTTTTAGTATTTGATTTTTTATGGATTTATGACACACTTAAAATAAGAACTTGTGATCTGTTAACGCAATGAAGGGGTTAAGACACATACGACAAGTTAACAGTGTTTGTATTGAAAATGCAAAAGGACGTCATTTAAAATTTTAATTAAAAATAATTTTCTAAGAATAATTGTTTTTCTTTAACTGACTTTTTGACTTTTTCTATAATTATAACCTTTATCATTCGCGATAATGTTTTTTTAGGTTACTATAAATAAATTTATTAGACTATATTAAGTAATGTAATAGATTTTATTAAATTATTTCTTGATAAAATAGTGTAAAGAAAAATCTATAAAATTACTAAATTAAAAAGGAAGATATAAGTATCTAGAATAATGTTTCAATCGTAAAGAAATTATGTATTCGACGTTGCAGTATAAATTAGTAAAATTATGTGTAACAATTTAATCTTATCTGTACAGAATGGAATACTCAAATGGGAATACATGCCTACAATAATTTTATAATTTTATAGAAAGGAGTTATATCTGACAATAATGTATTATAAACATTTACATGGCACTAAATATTACCGACAAGGAAATAATACACAGCAATGAAAAAGTATGCTATTTTATTTATAACAAGTGATAAATTAACTGAGCAAACATAAATGAAATTATATGGCTCCGATATTATATTTCCCATACATTAGAGCAAACATTTTGAAAGACATTACTATCTGTCATATCTCGCAGTTATTTTCGTGCGTTGCCGCTTAATTAAATTTTCTGATACATTTACTGAGGAAGCATACCATCATTCTTGTGCCGCTCCCCGAAATATTTCTTTATTAATCTTTGCGAGCACTGAACGACATATTGGACAGACTATTTCGATGAACATCAATTTTCTTTAGTTATGTTTGCACATAATTGATGTACACCTATTTTACGTAGTTCCTAATAGTCATCTAGAATAATAATTGTGTGCCGACAATCACATATACAAGTACAAAATTATTCTAAACACTAAAATTACGGTACTCAAGATGACAGGTTTCAGTATTCTTATTTAGTATTATTCATACCATAACTGTATTAAATATCCGAAATGATATAAAAAATAAATAGCTTCATTTGAATATTATAATGAACATACAAAAGAACAAAATAAATATATTGTTACAATTTTTACAAGGATTACATATTAATCATATTAAACCTTTGATAGCTCCAGTGTTAATACGTATCTATCTAGACGATGAAAATTCGTCATTTCACAATTACCAGCGATCAACCGACGAAAATTCGTGATTCGAAAAAAATACACGGAACACAGGTGATTACTTAAAAGTTATGACGTTCCCCGTAAAAAAACACCAGCTGGATACGCGCGAAAATAAATTACGCATTCTGCGAGCCATTCGAAATGCATTAGAATGTTTATTTGAAACAACACGAAAAGAAGAATAGTAGACATCGGATTGTTGTGCAACAATTCATGGGAACAACAAACAGAAAGCAATTCATTCATTCTATTAAAAGTCCGAGCAGGTTTCGAATAAAGAAATCTCGTTAAACCGTCTGTTTGTCGTCGATATCCCGTGATTTGACGGGAATTAACCGAAAAGAATGGAAAACAGAAAAAGAGGAACCAGCCAAAAACCGTTTCGCCGGCGAGCGACGCGGTCGATCGGTCGGTTAAAACATTTTCCCCTCCGTTTAGAGACGCGAAAGTTCTTAAATTCCCCTCCGTGTAATCGACTCGCGAAACTTCGCCGTCACGGAACGGACTCGGTGCCGGCACAGTGAGCCGGAGGGAAAAAAAGCCTAGAATCTTTATCGATGCGCCGCATCGTAACGCGGTCTGACCACATGAACGCACTCGAATTCGTTGTTTCCCGGCCATGGAACAGGCTGAAACTGGATCAATAATTTCGAGCTGGTGTTCTCCGTAGAACAAATATTTTCTGTCGTGCATGGAAACGGTTTCGGCCCCGGTACTGCCCAGGGTTCACGTTTTTTCCTGTCGTTGTCCCATTCCACCCCTTTATCCTCCTCTCTACAGTGTCCTCGCGATTAGTACCTGAAAATCGGGACAAGTCTAGATAAGATCCGAGCCGAGCGCTCTGTTTGTCCCCTGTGGAAAAGGACGACGCGAATGGAACAGCAAGAGATCGGATCGAACAGAATAAACAGATGAATGAGAGGATATTAACGCAATGTTAAACTTTTTCATTTATCAGTGTTATTAACTGAAACTCTTATCAATTGAATTGTGAGGGTTTTTTGATTAAAACGAGACCAAACACGATATATCTTGGAACATGTTTACTTATTTAACAATAGAACTACCGAGTATTTAATATGATCGGTGCGTGACCTCTATAAAAATTGTGACGATAAATTATTCTCAGTTTCTTCAGACACTTAGTATAGTATTCAAATAAAACTATTTATTTTCAGAATTAATTGCCAAACAAGAAAACCGAGACCAGTCTTTTTAACTGGTACATTAGTTCCAGTTAATAAATTACAATAATTCATATTCTTCTAGTAATTTTTGACTTAAAGTACGTCATGTTTGGTCTCGTTTCAACGAGGAGAATCCCACAAACGCGTTAATAAAAGCCTCATTTACGAAGAGACCTTTATAAAAAAAGCTTTATCATTGCATTAATAGTCTCACCGATATAACACCGCTGAACAACGTATCGTATTACAACTGCTCGGCCGTCGAGCTTCGTGGCTTGATGAGGGGACTCGCCCCTCAGTGGCGGGGATGATTATCGGGCACTAGGCCTGCAGATCGGACCGGCTACTAATCGCGAGAATACTGTATTCGTGTCGTTCAATTTCTCTTCTTTTTTTTTCTTTTTTGTTTGTTTCTTTTGTCGCAAGTCACGGCAAGTTGCGCGGAGGAGGTGCAAAATAATCTGACCTACGTGATCAGCCCTGGTTTCCCCAACCTCATTGACTGGC